TATTATTATCTATATTATCTTATATTATTATTATTATCTGAGCAGATTTTTGCCTTTGAGAAGTCTTACCAAAGCCACTTATCATAACAAGCAACCCAGCACTGGGTGACAAGTAAAAGATTCATTGCATAAGGATACTAATCTAGATGACAGTCCTAAATAACAGGCCAAAAGGTCAATTACCTGGTGAGAATAGCCTTCCGGTGCACAGCACACACACAGTTATTGCTCCGGTCTTTCACTTCCTCCAGGAATGGCCGTAATTAAAGAGAGCATGTTCCTCACTGACAGATTGCAGGAAGCGTGAAGATGGATGCCACCTGTCTTTAGGAAAAAACTCTTCCTCCCTACATACCCCCTAATTCAGATCCTTCCTAGGCATTTTATCCACTGCCACCCAGAGCAGCCCTAACTGCAGTTGTGCCTCCAGCACTTCTGGGAGTCAGGAGGAGCCTTTCAGTCGCCCTTACACCAAGCTGGAGGACATCAGAGAGAGAGACCCTGATTTCTGTAGCACGGCCACAGTCAGAGACTGCTCACAGCAGCAGGGCCTTCGTTGCTTCGGCAGAGCCCCACACCTTGCGCGCTTAGACTGGGTGTTTGCCACAGAGCCCTTAAAGACAAAACAAAGCAGACAAAAAAAGGCCGGCGTGTTTGTTCCCAGCACACTCTGCTCAAAAGGGAAGGAAATGCAATTGAAATATGCTTAGAAAATAAATAAATCCCAAAGCCTCAGGAAAGTGAGGGTCGTAGAAAATAACTCTCTCCTATTCAGGTTGGGTTATGGCTCATCCGTGTAAGCTATGGCTACTTTGAATCAACGATGTAGGATCTTTTCTGGAAGGAAAATCTTACCTTTTTCAGTATTTCTTGAGCACTGGCAGTTTAGTTCAATTCAGATTAACTAAGAATGAACATGACTAGTTAGCCCTCATTTTTAAGGCCCCTAATGCCATGAACTTCAAACAGATGAAATTCCAATTAAACATCCAGGCAAGCCTGAAACCATGAAAAGGGAAATCTCACCAGGAAGTGGGTGAACTAAAAGTGAGACGGGAAATGTCTGTGCCATATAGTAGCCTGGGATGTAGAGAACACCTGTGCTTTGAGGTCATACGGTACAGGGCCAGAGAAGCTGACTCTGGTCCCGAATGCAGGAAAGCTGTGCTGTGCTACCTACCTGGGCATAGCACCAGCCTGTTTTGGTTTCAGGGGTGGTAGTAGGACAGGGTCTCTGCACAGCGATGCTGCACAGTGAAGATGTTCTTGCAGATGTAGCAGTGGTTTTCCCAGGTACCATTCAAAGGCAACAGTATTTGTGGGACAGGATGGTCTGCAGACAAGTCTCTCTATCTGGAGGAGAACTACAGCTGCACTGTAGCGATGGGGGATAAAGGGATTTATGCAGAATTTTTCTTTCTGTCTATTGTGGAGCCAGGAACAGAGATTGACTTGTATCCTGACCCTTTTCTGCTCTACGCACTTCAGCTCCGGGAGGTGCCTGGTCGTAGCACAACAGCAATACAGCACCCTTGGAGAACCCACAAACCTGGGATCGGCTGCACGTTTACCACTGTTTTTAAGTGAAGCATAATGTTTTATCCCACCAGTTTGTTTAATGTTTCTTCTCTGTCTCCTTCCCAGGTGGGTGGCTGGGCATTGGAGTCCGTGCTCTGCCACTTGCGAGAAAGGTATCCAGCACCGGGAAGTGACCTGCGTTTATCAGTTGCAAAATGGCACCTACGTTAACACGAGAGACCTCTACTGCCTCGGCAACAAACCAACAACTGTACAAAGCTGTGAAGGCCGGGACTGCCTTTCTATTTGGGAAGCATCAGAGTGGTCAAAGGTAGGAGCTAGCTTCAAGAAAGGAGCCAGACAGCACACAGTTCTGGATACGCTGGTCCTTAATTAAGCACGTTCTCATCGTCAGCACATTCACAGTGCCTCGCGGTACTGGGGCAGCTGGTAGGAGTTGCTGAGATGATGAGTTTGGAGCTGAGATTTGTATTCTGTACCGAGTGGAGTTATTATCACAGGTTTTAGGTATCATGCCATCCTAGCTGTATATTTCCATCTGAAAACTCTGACCAGCAAGGAAAAACATTTCACTGACTTGAGGCCAGAAATGTAGTAACCCACCAGGCCTTCTGGCCCCATTTAAGTGCAGTATGAAACAAATGCCAGATTTGCCAGACAGCTGAATGTTACAGAGAATGTACAATCTTTGGGCCTTGTCCAACCCTCTTTTGTGTAATTCTCGGAACATGGAAAAGCTTGTTACACTCTATATAAAAAGGTGCATCTCCATGTAGTTATAGAGAGTTAAGAAATTATCCTCAGAAACTATAAACACATTTCAGATATAAATAATGTGTAGCCTGGGCAGAGCCCATGAGCATGTATTTTGTGTAGCAACAGAGTGAACTGGGAGTATGTCTGTATGTCCCTGACCTGAACTCAGTTAATGGAGGATAGCTTGTCTATACTTTGTGAGTAACACTCCTAACAGAATTCCCATGTTAGTTTTGATATTGTATCTGTTAGGCTCATCTGAATGATGAGAAAATCCTTTCACTCTTGGTGCGTTGCTTGTGGCTCTATCAGTGTCACTCCAGAGCGGCTGTGTTATGAGACTGTTGAGCAGCAGCTCCTTCCATGGGAAGGATCTTTTGTTGTTACTCATCTCTGTTTTGGAACAATGACCTCCTGTTTAAAGCATTGTCAAAGAGCTTTTGCAAAATATTATTGTAAAAACTTGCTTAAAAGTCACAAAAGCTCAGGATGCAAGAGGTCTTCAGTAAGGAGCAGTCTCTCAACGAAAACACAATGTTATTCCATTATTCGTCTTTGGAACAGGAAATTTTTTGTTTGGCAAGTGAGAAAGGGTAGGAGTAGTGTTTCCGTCCAGTAGGATGCTGTACCTGCTCACTAAAGCACGAGATTCACTTTCCTTCTGAGTCCTTTCGTTTCAAAAGATGTGGAGAAACACACCAATGTTTTAAGACCTTACAGGTCTTTTATGTGTTAAAGAAATAACCCTTTCAGGTGATACCCTCTTTAACTCTCACAGCTGAACCAGCTGAATTGTAGCAATGCTTGTAGCTGAGCCTACTTTTGTCCTGGTGCAACTCCCACCTGTTTTATGTGGGGTGTTTCATCGTCTGAGTGTTTGTGGTCTTTTGTAAGCAATCCCAGGTACTTCTCTCTTCTTCTTGTTAAATGGAGTAGGTCAAGCTACAGAAGGTTTTTCCAGAGTGGAAATCTTCCATATTTGTGAGCACATAACTCCCTTGCAAATACATAGCTTTTTTAGAAAAGATTTAAAACGACTGGTTTACTTTGATAATTTTTTTCACCTTTTGTGGGGTTGATTCATTCTTGTTCAGGCACATTTTCTCTATTATATGGCACAGTGGACTGCAGGACACATTTGATACTCTGCCACTTTGAACGCTTCTCATAGCTAAAGCTTTCTTTACTGGAAATCAGTTTAATCCTTCACATTTTAATCGGATGTTGTGGAGTAAATATCACAGTAGTGATATCATTTTATAAATCAATTTTCTCATGTACGTTTTTGAACTTTTTGGTTATGTGACAAAAAATAGTTGAACAAAGTGCACGTTGATGTCTGGTCCCCAATCAAAAATGTATGTTCTCAAAGCAAATTCCAAGACAGTCTTCAGTGTGGAAAAAAATGAAGTTCCCCTTTTATTGCCAAACACTTGAGATTGTTTTGGACGAAGTACTGCTCAGCCCATTTTTAATGACAAAAATAGAGAGTTACAAAAAGGTGAATGTTTCTACTGTTTAGGAACAAGAGTAGAAAAAAATATGGCTTTCCTTCAAATAAAGGGGCTATATCTTAACTGCAAAGTTGTGATGCTCCTTTACAAAATCTTGTGGGAATTGACTAGGTGGTATGTTAATAAAATAAGATCTAAGGGTCTAAACTGGAAACTAAGTGATTGTACATATTGTTTAATAAGCTACTCTGTTGTAGAGTCTTTGTAAAATCTGTATGTTAAGAAATTCTTCATGAAGACAGAAAACTCAAGGAAAAAAAAATTCTTAGGGTGATTTATATGTGACCACTAAAGATCTCTTGGAAACCTTTTGCAAATGCTCTTTTGTCTAGGAAAGTATATTCACTGTTAATCTGTGAATGACTTAAAAGCTTATGGGAAGATCAAACAGTTGGTGATTTTCCCAGATTTGCTTGTGAAACCCACCTAGAGATTTCTTATACCGTGAAAAATACTTCTGCTTCGGCTTGATTTACTTTCAGTAATTTGGACCATTTGAATGATTTTATATATTATGCTTTATGCTTTGAGATGAGTGAGTGCAACCCTGAGGAGTCCACCCCGAGGACTGAGGAAAATGATACATAGTTTGGGAAAGACTGTATAATTTGGGATTCATGGCTTTAAGGTAACAATTAGGGGTCTCCAGCCTGGGATATGTGGGAAATTTTGGACTTTGAAGAGTCCTGCAAAGCAGTTTCTGGAATTATCTCCAAAGCGTGGTGGAATTCATCCCCTACCTAGCAGAACCATACAGATGTGCTTGTCGCAAAGATGTTACCTCCATAAGGAGGTCACACCATGAACAGCACATAGTAAATTAAGTGGAAGTTTTCCCAGATTTTCAAGAAGACACTTTGTAGTGCTCTGAAGTATTTAAAGGCATATCTGTTTGCTTGCCAGCTCATAAACGCTTGTCATTCGTGTCCTTAACAAGGCCAGCAGGTCAGAACTGCCTGGATTGTATTTTTAAGACGGTTAGACAGGCATGCTGAGATTTGTCCACTTGATGTAATTTATATCAAGCTGACGCTTGTTTCCAGCATAGACCCCCTGAATGGAGGAGCTTCTTGGAATACGTTCAAAAGACCTCACAGACTATCTCATATCTTCACTATTTATTCAGTGTCAAGTCAACTCTCTTTTCCATGCTGATCCCCTGAAGGGGAGAACTTGACACGCTCAAGAAGGTTAGTTTTTATCTCAGTTGGTACATATATCATTTTTCCACCCACCTGTCCCCGGTGGCTCTTCAAGAAAATTTCTCAACCTTAACACTGCAGTGGCATGAAAGTGAGGAGCGAAGAGACTAGGTATGCTGTTGTGTATTAGCATGCACTTGGACAGCTGTGACAACATCAGCAGATCTGTTATCCTGTTGCTGAACTGGTTATTGAAAACAGCGATCCGCAGTTTCAGTTCATGGCAATGTCCGTTTCCCACCTAACACAGACAATGAAGTCAAAACAAGTCCCCCAGTAAAACAAAATTTCAAGCCATCCGTTGGCAAAGATAGCAAGCTGGAGCTCAGATATCCCTGCTCTTCAGAAGCTGTCGCCATAGTGCCCACGCACAGTAAGACTGGTGGACAGTTTGTGTCCACCCACATGAATGTTTGTTACAGTGCCCAAATGCTTGAATCAAGTCTTCCTCCAACAGCTGATCCTAGCAACTCTGCTAGCCTGCTGCTTTCTCCAAGGACTTCAGACGGTCCCTGCCTGTTCTTTTGGTGTTGAGAAACCCATCTTTCATCCCTGACGGTGTCTGTGGACAGTCTTAGCTTTCTGGCCATGGTTGGAAGCTGATCACAACACTGTGGTTCACTGAATAGCTCCTCTCCTGAGTTACATGCTTTGTACACTTTGAAGTTCCTTGGAACTAACATTGTGATGAGGAGATTATAAAATCAAGAGTGAACGCTCGCATATATGTTTGACATAGCTTTTGATATAGTCATGAGAACATGTGTGAGAGCTGCAGCTTTGCCATAGTGTGTAGAAACTGTGCTGCAGAACTGTATTCCAAGGTTTTCGTGCTACTGTGATTTAAAAATGCATTTTTCACCATTTTCTTTTTTCCCGTCATTTTACTCCCATGATACATCAAGGGATGTGGCAGTTCTGTGCTGTGAATCTTGGTGTGTCCTTTTTCAATGAATGATACGTTCTTAATTGCAAGACATAGTGATTCTTCATCTGTAACACAATTCCAGCACAGTGCCAGTTGATATTTTTCAAAGGAGGTTGATTTGCAGAATTGCCGTTTTTCAGAAGCAAAATATTTCACAGGCAGTTAAACTTTTCAAATGACTTGGGAATGTGTGAAAGGCATTTATATTATTGGGCAGAAATCTTGCATGTTACCAGTTTTTCTCTGTGTTATCATCTGTTCATGAACTACCTTTTCCAATTGCCTTTATTACCAAGGTAAAAGTTCAGCATTTCTAGGCACAATGCAGTAGTTGAAGAAAGCAAATGCCTGTTGTTTTGCAGTGTTCAGCAGACTGTGGCAAGGGGATCCAGAAAAGAACAGTGACGTGCACAAATTCTCAAGGAAAATGTGATGCAGCCACCAGGCCAAGAGATGAGGAAGAGTGCGAGGATCACACAGGCTGTTACGAATGGAAAACAGGAGATTGGTCTAAGGTAATAGTGAACACTACGTGGTATTTTCTTTCTAAGTGAAAAGATGTTCAGGGTGCCATGCTTCTGTGTAGGGTGTCTGTTGTTCAATTTCAATTTAAATATTTGGAAAGGAAGGGGTTAACTGATTTTGGTTGTAGTTTTTTCTGGGATTAATACTTTTACCATATGCCATGTATGACCCAAATACTGCAACACAGGCTCATGGATGTGACCCAGCAAGTTTTAGAGAAGCATTTTACGAACAGGATAGAAAAGAGTATTAATGGACAGCTTAATCCTCCATAGGCAAAACTCACACAGCCATTCACTGGTTTGCCATAAAAATTCCCACCACAGACCAAAACTAGCTCATCAACTGTGGCCTTGCTATCTAAAAGCTACTGTATAAGCGATGCTGAAACTGCTTTCCACATCTGAAAAAACAAACTCCGAACAGTCCTGGCTAACAGGTTGAATTCTACAGAAAGGAGTTCATTAGCAGCATGATAAATCTGTGTTGTTCGGTGTTGTTACCGAATACTACTGGGGGAAAGTGCGGGGAAGCCTTAGTAGATTTGCGCAGAGACAGAAGGTAATTCAGAGCACTCCCAGCTGAATTCGGTTCCTCTGTCTCATACAGGTCTTGCAAGCTGAGTCTGATAGTACACTATTTTGTTACCGCAAATGCAAGACTAAAGTTGTGCAGCTGAATCTCACGCTGCTCTGAGCGCTACACGGCATAGTCCAGTCCCAGACTTATTCCAACTGCCTGAAATGAAAGTAAGCCATCAATTTAAATGCAGAGCCAAAACCATCAGTCCCTACCTTTTGCCAGTGTTGTTCCTAAAGCATCTTTACATTACTGACTTTATGTTTGCGTAAAGGACTGAAATTTCCCAGGAATATTGTATTCCAGTTTAGTTTTATCTTATCTTTGTAACTGTGCTGTTCTTTAAACAGAAAGCCTACTTTGTGTTCTGGAATGTACGGCATGTGCAGAAACCACTGGGATACAGTAGTTGCATTTTACTTTCCAAAAACCCAAACTCCAGCAAGCAAAATCCAGTGAAATAGAGGCTCACGCTGGGCAAATCTGCAATTTATCTGCAATTGCATTTTTTTTACATTATGATTAGGAATTATAAATATTTATAAATATACTCTGTCATAGATATGTGAATTTAATGGTGTCACTGCTGGAGAATGCATTAAGAACCTGCCACATAGAAAAGGTCTGTATTTATGCTGAGCCAGGAATTTGTATCACAGAATGTTTAGAGTATTGAACATTATTTTATTCATAACCTGGCACACAGAATCCATGCAGGCTGGCCAAAAAAAACAGTTCCTATGTGTTAACAGGTGAAATAACATTATTTATTTATTTGTGGAATTTTAAAACGTTTTGGCATACCAATTGACCTGGATTCTCTTTATAGGGAAGAATATGAAATAATTGTGTATTCACTGATTACACGGATTGAAAGTTGAGTATTGTATGAATGGTTCCCATCTGATAAAGATGTTGGCTCTCTGCTAGAGAGGCTGCATTCATACATTGGTCACAGTAAATAGTGTTGCTGATGGATTTAGCATCTGCATGTGAGCAGGGCAGGATCAGTGCAAAACTACTTGTTATTTGCAATTCTTAACTCTGGGTCAGGATCTTCCCTGTGCAGAAGGACACAAAAGCTTAGGCACTGCATAAATAGAGGGCTTCTGCCTGCAGAGAGTTTGTACCAGCTCTCTGCTTCCTAGGAATTTCACCCTGTGAGAGTCCAGCAGGATGTGCTTGGATTTAGATTTGGGTTATAACGTGCATTTAAAATTCTAGACTTCCTGGTTGATTCTGACTGGACCCTTAGATCACACAGTTAGATTCTTATTTTCTGAGTAGAAGGATAAACAAAAGGCACCACTGAACTATTAGAAAAAGCTGTGGGTAGAGGCAGTCCTTCTAAGGAAATGTATTATCCCAGAAACACAGAGCGCTACAGTTTTTTGCGTTGAATTCAATTTTTTGCACATCCTGAGCACCAATTAGGATTTTCAACCTGAGGATTCCAGAACCTGTAATGCAGGGCTCTGACCTGGGGGGAGTACCTCTGTAGCTCTCAGCGACTCCTCTTTGGTGTTGTCTGGCATAAAACTGTTCATCCTTTAAGGAGAAACAGAGTCTGAGGCCGTTAGATTATAATGAACTCGGTAAAATCCACACTTCCAGAGTAAAATTCCATTGTAAAACATTGTTGCCAGTGCTCTAAAAATCTCTGTGAGAGAGTTTTGTGCTAACTAAAATGGAAACTTTTACTATTAATACAAATTGCTCTCAGAACAAGCAACAACTTTTTGAAATTGCTGCATTGTGCATTCCTTATTTGTTGTTAAGAATCATTAGGGTGCAAGTATAACGAACACTAGTAATTATCACAGATTAAAACAAGGGTCTTTGATGCTTTGCATGCAAACAGCTGATATGCTGCCTGCAGTCCTTAACTTTCCCAAACTATGATCATTTGTAGATATCAGGAAGTCACATTAGAAAGAGGCAAAACCTCATTAAAAAATCAGGTCCAGACACACCATATAAAAAGAACAGGCCAGGCTATTTGGGTGGTAATAGCAGACCATTGTTTTTATATTGTTAGGAGTATTATTTAGAAAATATGTGGCTTGTGTGCATGACAAGACAGGTAGGTCACTTGCCTAAGGAGCTCACAGTCCGATATAAATAATTCGCCTCCAGGCATGGCGCTCTGGGTGCAAAGAAGAGCTCCTGTGGTAGACAGCAATAAGACATGCTTGTCCTGTATAAGATCTTGGATCCTGTTGCAGTCAGAAGGTGCAGGAATGGGCAGCAGTAAAATCTCCAAAGCTGTGACAGACAAGTGGCGGTTTTGTGTCCTCAGGGCCCGACTCCGCTTCTGCGTAGCAGAAGTTAGGGCTGGAGGCAAAGCCTCATCCCCTGGCCTTAGTAACTGCTCTGCAGCCATTGCCTATCTGCACCCTAAAGAAGAGGGGGTTTGTTCCCCTTTCTCTCAGGGCTGTCTGCAGGTATCTCCTTGTTGCATTTTATAGCTGTGGAAAGGGTTTGGAGCTAATTGAGTAGCTTTGCCAAGCAGTCTGGGCTGTGATACTTTTGTGTTCCTAGAAAACTTACAGCTTACTTCAAGCATCCCATGAGGAAGTGGTTCATCTAATTCACTTTGCAGACATGTAGGGCCAACTCCATAAAGTTATCTAAATGCCTTTCGAGTTACCTCTGCTAGTTCAGCGCTTGAGGTTAACAGACTTTCTAATGTAATTCTAAAGACAGTACGTTATTCTGTTACCATTGACCATAATAACGTCTGTTGACAGTGCTGTTAAACTTCCAACCTGTCAACTTCTCTCTCAGACCTCTTAGCTTAAAGGGATATGATTACCATTTTTATTATTTAGCGCAGATGCAGCATTAGTATGATGAGCAACGTAACTAAAGTGTTCCCATCCCAGGAGGCTTTGAACCTAGCAGAATGATAGATTGCATAGTAGGAGACTCACTGAGGGTGTTAACCTGAAATTATTATTTTTTTACTGTTGCCTGGATTTTTCAGAATTGCAATTCATTATATCATTTTTTATATATGATGCAATATAGAAATGTGAATCGAAACCATCTCTCATTCAAGCTTTTCTTCCAAAAGGAAATTCCACATCCAATTTGTATTCAATTAAAGAAACAAACCTCTCATGGGCTCTTTCTAGTTTGACATAGTTCTTCCTGGTTTGAAATCTGAGCTGTTAAATGTTCTAGCACTGGAATAGAATTTACATTGTTATTGTAGCTGTGCTAATTAAAAGAATGAACACAGGTTGCTCATTTTCCCAAGACTTGCCTCAAATGCTTGGGCTGTTGAAAATATGCCTCCTGTTGCTTTAGCAGGACAGTAGTTCGTTCTTTCATGATGAATTGACATAGCTTAAAGTATTTTGCTTACAAAATTTATGTTAAAGATTGCATTTCTGCAAAGAAGGCAGGCAGCTAAAGATCAGAATGTGTCTTTATGTATATGGCTCTCTGGAAAGCTCAGCAGCGTGCGCCAGCTGACCGCTCAGGTGCAAATGTAGAGGCCGAGGCTGCATTTGTCTGGAGTTCCTCTTCTCCAGTTGGCTTATGGACTCTTCTAGGGTGTGACTGGAGAGGCAAGATTATATAGTGGGAGCAGTTCTCCGGAAGACTTTTATGGATTTCTCTTCATTTCCAGTTTTACTTAATTGTTTCACTGTTTTATATGCCTCAACCTACTCTATTTCTGTCTTGTGACTGAAGTATTACATTTTGAGCCAACAGCACAGAGTGGTTCAGGGTTCCCAGTTTCACTTTTTTTGGCTGTTCTGCTTTTAACTGGTATTATATCAAGGAAGCTAAATTTACAAGCAAGATACACTAACTTATTAGTGCTGACTTTCACAAGGGTGCATTTTCGGCTTTGTGGGCAGAGGTTTAGACATGAAACTTCTGTCCCTCAGGCAACAATTTAGCTCGTTACCCTATTACATTACATAGCCCAATGAAAAGATTTTTAGAAGAAGAAGGATACATAGTTGGCTAACAGAAGCCTTGTGGTATATTGGCTTTACCATGTTTTTTCTTTGCAGTTACAGTAGATGTTCTGTAAATGCTAAGGCCTATACTAATCTCGGATAACCCAATGTAAATCCAAGGTAGCTGTCTTTCATTGTTCCGTACAATCCATTGGCCACGAGCTAGGCATTTCACTTAGTTCACTTAGCGCAGTGGGTCAGATATCAGTCTCTCTTACATTAGTGTAAATCCAGATTAATTCAGCCACTTGAGTTACTGCGGGCTTATGCCAATGGCATCCAGATCAGAATCTGACCTGCTGGACTATGCAAGATCTTTGGCTCTTGTGGAGTAACCATCCAGATTCATGCTCTCAGTGAAAACAGAAATACCTGGCATATTAAGCTGAGCTTCCACTGGATAAAAAGGAGGGAAGTGGAGGAAAAATCTTTTT